GAATAAATGAAATAAAGTAATAAATAATAAGTAAAGAAAGAGAGAAAAAAAAGAAAGAGGTTTCCATAGCAGTAATCTAAATTGTGTTTTCCAGACTTGGAATCCCCACTCATTGGATTATGGGACTCTCACGTTATTTCAGAAGCCCACGAGATTTTCTTATACCTGAAGCTCTATGCTCATATATCTTTCCTGTTGTGACCAATAAATTGGGTATAGTCCCCAGGCTAATCTCTGTGCCTGTTTACTAGACTGTACTCTCTGGCCTATTTCCTTCACCATAATGTTCCCTCTCTCTAATTATTCCTATCAGCATTATAACTTGTTGGAATTTTTCCTATCTTCAAAAAACAACAACCACAAAAAGCTTTCTTCACCTCAAATCCCAGTTCAGCTACCACCCAGTTTCTATGTTCTCCTTAGAGTGAAATTCCTTGAATGGCCACCACTAGCTTAGGACCACTGTGATCCCGTTGGCATTCTCTTCTCTCTGCCTCAGAAACTGTCTGTGGCCTCCTCAGTTTCTTGTAGCAGTGAGGTCATTGCCTGTCACTCCTACTCTGTAACATATTCAAACACTCTTTATCTCTCCATGGTTATGATGTAAAGGCCTGGTTCTCACATAGCTGTGATTTCTCCTGCTCCATGTGGGTACCCAGGTGACATGGCAGCTGAACATTTTGGGGCTAGACTGACCTCTAGTTCTTAAAACTGTTCTTTTCTTCCATGACTCTTTCTCTTTTCTTGTTAGTGGATTCCAGAACTCCCTAAATTGAGAAAACTCCCTTTCACGTCATCCCACTCAGCTACTACTATAAAATAGTACCATGATATTTTCCAAGTATCTTAGGGATTTGAGTGATAAGAGCTATCTCTGAGTTATAACCTCCTCTCCTCTGGGCTCTGTGTACAAGTTCCTTCGTAATAAGGCAATCAATGTAATTCATATTATTGGATTTTAAATTGTTGCTTCTGTATTTCATGGATGCATTATTATCTGATTAAGCTAATGTATCTTGTCTTCTCTGAAGATAAATTGCATCACATGAGCCTTCATGTAAATAGATCCCTAGGGCCTCCTCTTATGCATGATTTGATTTTAAGGATATTCAAGATTAGTTGTCCATCTCGACTGCACTTATTCATAGATATATTTTCAGACTTGTCACCTATAGCCAAAGTATTTCTGTCTTGTGGAATGTTTGCTATGCCATTTAACTATATAGCAGATGTTAGTAGAATGATAAAATTTAAGTTATTTAATTCTCAATTGGACAAAATATCAACTATGTGTATGCGTGAACTCAACAAATTACCAGTAAGTATAGTGATCCAATAGTTTTATCTCAAATTTCTATCTCTTCAGTTCAAATTGGAAAAACAAAAAACTTATCAAAACCTTATCAACCTTATTAGTTGGAGGTTTCAAACAATGTGATACTTTTCAAAAACTGATTTCATTATTTTAGGAAAATACTGTGAGAGCATAAATCACTTATAATACTATTAATAATTCTTTGGGAAAATTAAGATAACTCATTCTATCTATCTATATATATCTGTAATTTATATTCTACAGAAAATGCTGAAACATCAGATGGAAAACTGAAAATTCAGTATTTACCGTTCAATGTTACTAAAATTATACCTATTCCTGTCAGTAGAAAAACCTTAAATAAAATAAAATAAGTGTGATAGACAAACTGAGAAAAATTAGGTGTTGAAATATCACTCCTCTGTTGCTTCTGAGACTATACAGAGAAACTCTTTCTGGTTTCTTAACCACTTAAAACCCTACTTCCTCTTGACAAACTAAAAGAAAAAAAATCTCACTCTAGATTTTAATATTATTTAAATACAAGGTTAAACATATATTATGATCCCAAGTTCAAAGCAATTGAACAAAGATATTATTTTGTTCTTGAACTAAATACACTGTCTATACACACCATTTTGATAAGATTCTTCTTCTTCATCTTCTTTTTTGTTTGGAGACAGAGTCTTACTCTGTCACCCAGGCTATAGTGCAATGGAGTCATCATAGCTCACTGCAACCTCAAATTCCTGAGCTCAAGTGATCCTCCTGCCTCAGCATCCAGAGTATCTGATACTACAGGCACACACCACTTAGCCTGCCTAAAGTTTTCTATTTTTAGTACAGTCTGCATCTCACTTTTGCTCAATCTGGTCTCAAACTCCTGAGCTCAAGTGATCCTCCTTCCTCAGCTTCCCAGAGCACTAGGATTACAGGTGTGAGTCCCCGTACCTGGATAATTTTGATAAGATTAATCTTCACAAAAATGACTACATTCTGATCTGCTGTATCCTCTCTCTATCCATGACAATAAGACTAGAGAGACAGAGAGACAGAGAGAGAGAGAGAGAGACTGAAGAGAAAGAGAGATGAAATTTCTTGAGTAGGAGAGGTAATAAATGGAAAAAAGTTTGGAGTGAGGAAAATTATAAATGATAAGTGTCAGGAAGAGGGAACAAGGCAGGATTCAGACAATCCAAATGAAAGGATCAACCAGAGTATAGTATTTTATAGACCCAAAGGTAATGATAATAAGGAATATACTAGAATGTACACACTTTTTAAGAGCTCATGAGAGGGCACTGTGATAACATGGTGATGTCATGTCAACATCATGATAATATTGTGATGATAGTGCTTAATATCTATCCTTTCTTTTTCCAGAAAATTTTAATAGACACATTAAGTATATATATGAAGTCTGCTTTCTCATAACTCAGTCTTTCAGCAGAAATTGCCTTTCACATCTGCTCACTGCACCTCATTTCAATTTTCTTTGCTAAAGATTCTCCTGTCTGAGAAAGCTTTTTGGAAATCAAATCTAAATAAAGTGAGATATTCTTGATAGCATGAAGTAGATTCCAACAGAGAAGTGATTATCAAAACCAAATATTAGGTCAGTGTGGTGGCTCACAGCTGTAATCCTAGCACTCTGAGAGGCTGAGGCAGGAGGATCACTTGAGCTCAGAAATTCAAGACCAGCCTCAGCAAGAGCGAGACCCTGTCTATACTAAAAATAGGAAAAATTAGCCAAGTGTGGTGGTGCACACCTGTAGTCCCCATTACTCCGGAGGTTGAGGCAGGAGGATTGCTTGCACCAAGGAGTTTAAAGTTGCTATGAGCTGGGCTGACAGCATGGCACTCTAGCCCAGCTGAGAGAACAAGACTGTCTCAATAAATAAATAAATAAATACATACATAAATAAATAAATAAAAATAAAACACCAAATACTATAAGATCAATTGAATAAGACATGGATGCTATTAAAAAATGAAGCCACAAGTTATTACACTGACTAAAAATTTTGACAAATAAATGTTAAAGTGAATCAATATATTGTGTAAAGTAATTCAATTCTTTTACATACTGGCAAAAGGATTTTCAGCGTTTAACAAACTTTGGTTCAGATCTTAACTCTTGCTAACTGGATAGCTTCTAACCTATTATAAACTACTAGTTTTATCATCATATTCATCATAAATTTTCCCTTTTTCAGATGTCTCTATTCAACTTCTATATTCTAGGGCCAGGAAGAATTAAAAGCGCTTTCAAAAGTATTATAAATAATATCAGGTGTTCATATCAATTTGTAAAAATACAGAGGGTGGAAAACCCTTCTTCATTTATGATAGTCACTGCAATGCAAGTACTGAGGGGTTTATAATAGTTCTATGGCCCCTTTTGGAATGTAAATAATGAGAAACATACCAGGAACAAAAAAATGAACCTAGGACAAACTTGAGGACAAGCTATAGACTTGCAAAGAAATTATGATTCAAAAAACTGAAATAGTCACTATTGAGGCCCAGTCACAAAATCCATCTATATTATCAAAACCAGTTTTTTCATTCTACTGCCTAATGAAAAAATAAAAATAAAAGTAAATTGCTGATATTAACATTTCTCTGTCAGTTCTCAGGTTGTCACATTTAACTGAATCAACATTTCATCATGACACATATTTAAATCCATTATCAAACATGTGACAAACATTACAGAAACAGCTTTGTCCTTGTATTTCAAGATTCTCTTATAAATGAGGCAATTCAATAGCCTGTTATTATTTTGGCTTTTCTGTTATGATATGTCTTATTGAAAGGAATGTATATTTTATTATTTTCTCAGTTTTATAAACATAAGATGTCTTCAACCTATGTCTGTTCACATATGCTCATTATGAAAATGTCAATTTTTTGAAATCTTACTCTTCTTCATTCTTGCTTTATTTATTTTTCTAATTCAAAGCCTTTCTTTACATATTTTTGCAGTCTTGATCCTGTACCTTAAGCCTACCAGGCTCATTCACACAGACAGTGGGTAACGACAATAAAGGTGAATTTATCAGGACCACCTCAGTTTATACCCAACCTACTCTCATGGTCAATTTCTTTCTTACTCCTGGTCTGCATTTTCTGTAGTCCTTGAATAGAATTATGATATTTTTGTCTTCTCCCATTTTTTAGACTTGTGAATTGATCTTGGTTTTCCCAGATTGTTGTTTTATTTTTTTTAGTGTTCTAAAAGATATTTTATCTCTGATTCATTTAGTAAATTTAAGTATTACAACATAAGCCATAGGCACCCACAGCTTAGCACCCTTCCCATGAACTGAGAGGATGATGCAAGAATCCAACACTTTTCTTTACCTAGGAGGTCCCTTTCTCCTATATTTGCATATACAATTCCATTGTATTCTTCAAGTGTAGCTAGTTCATCCCCAACCTGAGTACCACTGTGATGTGATCCTAACATAACACTAACCGATTGACACTCTGCCCTGATGAAAATTTTATCCAGACCTTTCAGACCAAGGCCAGCTCTTTACCATGGCTTATCAACTCTTCATGTCCTACCTCCTGTTTACTTTACCAGTTAACAATGAGTTCTTAGATCTTGAAGCATTATATATATTCTTTATACAATTATCTGAATGATTATATTCTTTCTATTTTTGTGTTTTTGCAGGTAATTCAAAGACATAATGAAGTTTTAGAACTACGAACTATCAATTGAATGCTCTATGCTTGGGAAACTGAGCTTGGCACTTGGGATGAAAAGATCACTAATAAGATAAAATTTCTCCTTTAGAGGAAGAAGATACACTTATGTTATCAATGGATAATATATAACCCAAATCATAAAGAACAGGTACAAATTTTCTAAGTAGATTATGGAAAAGTTCATTCCTAGGGCAATAAAAAAAATCACAGGCTCTGTTTCTGGATTTTTCTGATTAAATTATTCTGAGTTGGGGGTCTGAGAATTTGCATTTCTAATGAGTTCTTCATGTACTGGTTGGAGAAAATCATGGGATTTAAAGAGAAAAGAGAGTTACCATGGTTGAACTGAAAAGAATATAACAGGGAATAGACAGTATATTGTAAACAAACAGTAAAGAGACAGACCATAAGTAATGAAAAATGAAAAACAGAGCTGAAAGGAAAGAAGGTACACCCTTCCAGACCAGTAGGCTGGCTTCAAATTTGGCTAAAACCTATTTGAATTTATGATTTTTTCTATAATTGTTTGAAAAATGATACAAATTATTTGGGAAATTTTTAAAAATATGTATATTTAGTTTACAATTTTGAATAGGAAAACATAAAACTAATTTGGGATGATAATATTAATATTTTTAACTTAAAATGTAAAAGTAGAAGGGATATTATCATAAAATCTTTTATTTTAAGGGAAGAAAAATAAAAGATGATATCTACATTATTTGATGGAGATCACTTTGTTATATAAATAAATTAAACTTAAGATTTAAGTTGTTTTTTTCTCTTATTACAGTATTAATTTGAATATAAGATGGCTTATAAATTCTTTTAGTAATTTTACATGACTCCAATGGGTAAAGCGGAGACTTCTATTATTTGTATACTTTTTTCTAATCCACCTAAAACTTGAAGTTCCTGTTTTTTTCATTTCCTTCTCTTCTAAAACTATTTATTATATAAAATTGGATTTTGCATACTTTATTTAAGTTCAGCTGTCACTTTGATTAGAATCATTACTTTTGATGAAATAAAGAACATGAAATGTAACTTATGAGATATTGTAGCATAACTAACTATAGGGGAATTGAGTACTTTTCTTTTTGTTCTTGTAAAGCAAATTGGCAGAGTATGCAAACAGATTCATTATTTTGTGATTTTTCAGTTATATCACATCCCTCTTTCCATAGTACCATGAATGAATATCTACTGCAGGTTTAGACAGTTGTGATTTTTAAAGTGTCATTCTTTTATCTGTGATCCAGAAAACGAATAATAATGTCCCTTGGTAAATTTCCATTTAACTATGAAGTACATAGAGGTTTTAATTCTTTCAAGATATAAACCAACAATAAAGAGACATTAGAAAATGAGAGATACTCCTTAAAAAAATACTGGTAAAGTTTAGCACAGCAGTCTTTTAATTAGAAGTTATCCAATATGCTATGGGACCAATATCCAGCTTTTAGAAGGATGAATGCTACAATTTTATAAAAGTCAATGCTGCAAAGCATGTTCAATGGAATATCTGAAAACATTAATTACATAATATGTTATTTGTTATATGTACATCTAATTCATTAAACTAGCAGTTCTCCAAAATCTTTAAGTTACCCATCTCAAAGGCCCTCAGGAATAAACTTTGGCTGAATAGTTAACTTATAGCTACAAACCTATATGTAAAGAGAATGGTGTTAGTGTAATCCAGTGTACATGCTGAAGCATGAGGGAAAGTGGCTGCTGAATGAAAATTCCCATTTAATTGATAGACCGTGCCATTTTAGATTGTTTGTGCTGGGAAATCCCTAAATTGTTCATGTTTGATTGTGAGTTTTTGTCTGGTGAGTCTTTGTATGTCTAAAGATTATTGTGAGACCACTTGTCTGGAGTGTAAGGGAAAGTGGTGGTTGATGGCCCATGGTTTATTCTGAGCTATTGGTTTTTTTCAAATTCAGACCTCAAATGGTCAACTGCCACTACAGAGTTAAAATGTTGAGTCTTAAGCTCTCTGCTTGGGATAAATTCATTATTTATGGTAATACAAAATGATCTGTGTTTGTATGATTTTTGATAAATGAGGTCCTCTCACCCGGGCCAGAACCCCTGCAACCAGCCAGAGTGAAGCTGCAGGTGGGGCCATGATGTGGGGGCAGACTCGATAGGTGGGAGGATCAGCACATGTGCTCGCCTCTGAGCAGTGCCTCCAGGAAAGCAAATCATTTTTTTAAGTCCAGGACTCAGATAGAGAAGAGGGTCCCAGAGCACCCTGCCTGCAAATATCTCCACAGGAGCCCTGAGCAAAATTGACAGCAGGGATTCAGTTGGCACTAGCCATATGTGTATATAAGTGGTTTAGGGACCTCTTTCCTGGTTACCACCCTGATCCCTGGCACCAGCCACATCTGGTGTTCTGTGAGTTAGGCAAGGTGCGGTGGAGAAGGGGCCAGGTGGCAGTGAGGCAGCTATAGACAAGCAGCGAGGTGGCAGAAACTCATGGCAGCAGGCCCCGAAGGCAGACCCGGGTAAGAAGCAGAGCATTAGGAGTCGTTTCAGAAGCAGCAGAAGCTCACCTCTGGGAGTGGGTGGGAGGAACCACCAAGCTCCCGATGGATGACTACCAGGGCTTCCTAAACTATACAGGAGACTGCCACTGCACTTTGAAGTTTGGGCCTCAGCAAACCGACACATTGTTACAGCATTGCCAAGAAGAAAGCTACTGAAAGTAAGAATATTAAGTATGCCACCAAAACAATGGCCCTAATACAGGCCATGGATGAGCCCAAATGTCTGAGCAGCATGGCAAAAAGAAATCAGGCCACTGGCAGAACTGCTAAGGAGGCTACTAGAGGTGATATGTTCCTTGGATCCTTGATATCCCAGCTAGATTTAGATCCACTTTAAAATAAAGACTGGGGCTCTGACATTGTAATGGCAGAGGTAAATGGAGACAGAATTCTCATAGACTCATCTCCTAACCAAAGCTTTGGTTTGGCCTCTTATGAGGCACCTACATGAATACACACATTGGGAGCATGATGCCTTGATGGATTTGGTGGAACCTCATATGAGAGGACTGCATTTACAACTAACTGTTTGTGTGCTTGGGGTGGTCCAAGCACATAAAGGGGACCTGCTGCACAGGAAGCCCAACATGTTGGCGTCTACCTTTTCGATGATTGACAGTTTCACTTGGATGCCTAAGTTTGTGTCAATACATGGTGGATATCTCTTGAGGCTGGGTAGAGGTTTGTCCTATCCGAATGGAGAGAACATCTGAGGTTCCAAGATGGGCTCCTACTAGGAGCTGCTGGCCTGAGACGGGGCTTTTACTGAGTTCCTGTACTTGTTCACCAGCACAGAAAAGGAACAGGCCTTGGAGTATGACAAGGTAACAGGCATCAGCAGTCCAGGGGAAAAGGCTGAGCAGATAGAGAATAACATGCTGGTGATGGAGGCTATGGACAGGCAGCTACAGAGATGGCTCAGCAGCTCTTCCTCCTACAGCAAGGACAACAACAGACATCCCATTGCCAATGGTACCCAATAATAACTCTGCAGAGCTCTGGACATTTCACAAAGGTGATAATAGACCCTCCTTTGTAGCAGAGGTAAACAAAACTAGCAAGTAAACAAAACCCTACAACTAGAATAGAAATTGCATGCATCCTGGAATTGATATAGGAAGCCCATCTAAAGTGGGATAAGATATTGCCACTTGGCCTCTTCTGGGTAAGAGTAGCCCTTTAAAAGTGGGCTTAAGTTAAGCCCCTAAGAGATAGTTTATGAAAGACTATTCCTAGCACCCCGAGGTAAATATGGTAATATAACCACAAATAAAATAAAATAAAGCAATATATCAGGAGTGGGTCAGGTGCTAGCCACTATATGTGAGTTTGCCTCTTTCAGGTCCCTGAATCAGTTTGAAGCAGAGAAGTGGGAGGGACCCAGGAAGTATCTCTAACAACTCATACCTTGTTAAAATTGTCAGCAGGGAAACCTTAGGTCTATTACACAAACATAAAGAGGTGTAGCCCCCAGTGGAGGAGCCAGCCTTAGGCAATATACACTATCTGTTTGAGAAAAAGGAAAGAAAATGAATGAAAATCTTGATATTTTCATTAATCCTTTTCTGTTCTGTCTATAGGATAAAGGGACAACTCCTTAGTGAGGATTTCCTCGGGCTATTACTGCTTCTGTTGATCTGTCTTGCTGCTGGCTGTGTTATCCTAAACCTGGGTAGGTGCAAATATTTCTGTACATGATTTCTGAATTTGCAGAATCTGGTCTCATGGATCACCCAGAGGTGCAACTAATAGCTCCACACTCAGAAGTCCCATGTTTCTTTCTTTCCTAGCCCTGTGTTAGAGTTTAAGTACAAGGTGACAGGGATGACCCATAGTCCTACTGGTGTCTTAGATACCAAATGGGGTAAAATCTCTCTTATAAGGCATCCTCCATCTCATCTTGTCAGAGCTCACAGTTGTAGTTGTTGCTCATAAAACTTCCATCTAAAACATCACCCCAATTCAGCAGGAAGTAGCTTGATGACTACACTGCCCCTCCTCCCTAGATATGGAAGGATAAAAATTGACATTGGGGAATATGTAACAGAGAAAATGACCGACAAAAGAGTAAAATTATTTTCTGTTTCTTCAAAACCCCCTCATCCTTTTGAGAACTGAAACCTGCATCCCTGCCTCAGTCCAGTGGTCGGGAGGGGCAGGAGAGCATCCTGTGTTCTTTGTACTGCAGGAGATGGCTCAAGGGAATTTTCTAGGTGGAGGTCATGAGATTGTTTTATCTGAAGATGGGATGAATCCGGTGGAGGTCATAAGATTGTCTTAGCTAAAAGTGAGATTATGAAGCTAATCAGAACCTTTAAAAGCTCTGTACTTCTCAGAAACAGGACATTGGTACTTTGACATGGGAGTCTGCCAACCTCCTCATGTGATGGCAAATTAATAAACTCCTTTTCCTCAAATTAATTAATTAATTAATTAAATAACTCAATAAGAGATGTTTATAAACTTAACACATGACTTATATTACTAATGACCAGCCATAAATTTTTAAAAATACCCAAATACTATAATATCATTGCTTTGATATTATGTTACAATTTATTACACAAGTTCACAAGTAATCTATTACTGAAGAAGTTTCGTTATTTAAAAAATTTAAAACAATTTTGTATATATATTCACTTTAACAATAGGTTAAAACCAAGTTAATAAAATTTATAATTAAAAAATTCTATAGTGCTGAAAATATGTATCTCTATACACTATAGGAATAAGAAACAATAGACAATAAGGTAAATATATAATGTAAATATTACTTAATCATTATTCATATTTTTATAAAACAGGAACATAGCAATTGAAAACTACAACCAGCTCAAATCAAATTTCATGATACTATGAAAACAGCACTAAAGCCACAATTATAGAAATTACAAATATATACTCATGAGTAGAAATTTAAGAATATTTTATAGCACTTAGATTTCTTAACAAATGCCACAAGAATTCTAATAAGACAGTAAATATAATTTATTCATATCATGTTTTATTTATTTTTACTAATTCACTTACTAATTTGCCAGTAAATAGCTTTGAAACATATGTTTAAATGAAATTCTATAATGGTATGTGTATGCTAATATTATACATTTTCAAAAATTATACTAAGTGATTTTGGCCGGGCGCTGTGGCTCACGCCTGTAATCCTAGCTCTTGGGAGGCCGAGGCGGGCGGATTGCTCAAGGTCAGGAGTTCGAAACCAGCCTGAGCAAGAGCGAGACCCCGTCTCTACTATAAATAGAAAGAAATTAATTGGCCAACTGATATATATATAAAAAGTTAGCCGGGCATGGTGGCGCATGCCTGTAGTCCCAGCTACCCGGGAGGCTGAGGCAGAAGGATCACTCGAGCCCAGGAGTTTGAGGTTGCTGTGAGCTAGGCTGACGCCACGGCACTCACTCTAGCCTGGACAACAAAGTGAGACTCTGTCTCAAAAAAAAAAAAAAAAAATTATGCTAAGTGATTTTCATATATTAAACATTGAAAAACTATTATTATTTTATTTTTAATTTGATAGTTTAAAAACATAAAGTATTTCCTCTGGGATTTTCAAAATAATGAAATTTCATTATATGCATAGCATCAGTCTTATACATTGTTCTTTAAAAAAGAATATGAAAATTAGTTTTTGTATCTGACATATGTATTAATAACTTAAAAAAAAACAGTTACTGTAGCAGCAGCTCTCCAAATTCTCAACAAGTTCCTCTCATTTTGAATTAAAATAGTGAAATTCATTTGAATTGTCAGACAAAAATACAGCCAAACAACATATTGTAAAGTTGTTTTGGGATATGCAAAGTTTTAGGGCCAATTTTATATGCATGCTGGTATGTTATATACACAGACACCTACTCCTAATTACTGTCCCTGCATGGTATTAATTTAAAACTGAGATAACTGGGAGGCAGAATTTTAGGAAACTCTTTAGGCAATGTCCCTTTCAAGATTAACTCAGAGAGAGCAGAGAGAGACAGACAGTTGCAGTGGTAGAGGGAGAACTGGATCTCACAAAGATTTTAAGAACTAATAATAACCTGTCTGCTCATAATTTCTTCTCCCCAAGCCCAAATAGTAACTACCCCATGGAATGTGGAGGGAGGCTGTAAGAGGGAATATTATAGTAGCCACACTTTATTCAGTAAAAATCTTGATCCAGGTTTGTTCAATTAACCTGTCTTGTCATTTCATCCCCCAAGTGCTAGATGAACACTAGACTTTTAGTAATAGTTGCTCATGCCAAATCTCAGAAGTCTAAATCCATGTAGTACATAGCTGGGGATGGGGATGGGTATTTGAGTAGAAGATACTCAGTTTTTGCCATTTCTATCTGTTCTAGTTTATTTATTGCTAAAGAACAACTCTACCCCCTCAAAAACAGCATGGCTTTCGAATGACAGCCGTTTCATTTGCATTTCATTTCTTCAACTCTCCTTGCCAGTGGTTCATCAGGAGGATGCATTTCAGCTGATTGAGCAGTTTAGGGGCTGAGATGCACTTGGCGCTTCAATGTCTGAGTTTCTTCCTGTCTCCATTGCAGTCTTAGGGCCTCCCTTCCCCATGGAGTCTCTCTCCACATAGTATTTCCAGAGGGATATCCAGATTCTTTCATGGTGGTTTAGGGATACCCAAAGTGGATACTTTCAGGCCTTTTTTTGTCTTGGGCCAAGAAGTGGGACAGTGTTGCTTTCCCCAAATCCTAATAGCTCCAACAAGTCACAGGCCCAGCCCAGATTCAAGTGGAGAGGAATACATAGGTTGTGAATGCCGAGAGTTGTGATTCACTGGGAGCCATCAATGTGACAGACTGCAAAACACGCTGCCAAACTGTCTAAATAGTTAGATTTACAAAGTTCTACAAATGAACCCCAAATCTAAAGTTAGTTTGGTTTGACAGAGCCATTCTAACACACCCAACTGCAGATAAAAAGAACACAATACCGTTATGCAGACCTATTGCCGTTCAGTGCCATCCTCTATTAATGAATTTGAGTGGTGATCAGAGGGGAGGTAGCAAATATTAACTTTTCTGCCTGAGTTCATTTCCAATTCTATTTTAAAATTATATTTTATATGACTATTAATATTTAATAAAACTCCAAACCTAACCGCATGGTGCTGAATTGACATGCTCTTCATAATATAAAGGTAACTAGTTTTACAGTAATGATCAAAGGATGAGGTTTACAACCTAAGAATATACATGAAAATTAGAATCATTACTATATAATAATTAACTAATATATTTACCTGTGAAATAAAATGAATAAAGTGATAAAAATTTACACAGAGGGGCCTTTAATTAATCTAACTGAGGTGAAATGACATGGAATCTTGTTATAAATCAATTTTAGAAACCTTATTTTCCTTTTCATTTATTAAAGAAAAGATTGACTTTGGAACCACTAATATTCCTTTCCCTACAAGGTAAATTTTACTTTTGTCTTTAAGTTGTTGATATCAACTAACTTTAGAGGAGGTGGATTCTACACTGAAATATTTGAAACTTTAGTCCAATTATCTATGTCAGTCAATTCCCTGAGAAAGAAGCACCTGAGTGATGAAGACTCAAGATTTTGTGCCAGACCTCTGAGGTATACCTCTAACAAAGTTAGTGGTTGCTTGGACAGGCTGGCGAGGTGCTGCCTGGCTAAATCATAAGGGCAAGAGAAATACTGTCCTTAATCAAAAGAGTCTCACTTGGAATCCAGAGAGCGGCATGGTGAGGTGAAGGGGACAAAAGGTAGGAATAACAATGAATCACAATGCTGAGTGAGAACTGTTCCATTTTAAGATTGATGAAATGCAGTTCAACCTACCCACTGTCTGGCCCTTCCATGCTTAATCAACCTTCTGCATTTAAAGAACCCAATGTGTCCTGTGAGTCTTTTCTTCTCGGTATGTTTGATTCTAGCACTTACTCTAGGCAAGTGACAAAACCTAGAAAGGTAACAGAGTGTCCTGGGGAATTAAGACTGAGGATCATTTCCTCCTCATTTCTGTTAGAAATATTTAATATGAAATATTGTAGTACTTAGTAAGGGTAGGAAATTCCATTTTTTTTAATTAAAAAAAATCATTTTAAATAAAATCTCATGGATCAGTCCTGACAAACACATGACTGCTTACTGGCCTAAGAGAGACTAGATTATTTGTTTTACCCTACTCCTATTAATAAGAAATGCCTCTTAAATATATATATATGTTTAATATAAATAAATAATATGTATAGAATAAATAAATAATATAAATAAAATAATATATATAAATAAAATCTAAACATGAACAGAAGTGGTGAAAAGGAGTTGAGTTGTATTTCAGGACTTGGGTCAACTTTTTATTATCTGTTTATTTCTTTACCAAGCACCATAATCCCATTTCACATATAATTGGGTCTTATTGGTAGATTATTTACAAGAAAGACAAACAACAAAAACAAAACAGAAAACAAAAATGAGTAACTAAAAGTCTATTAGCTAAAGTTTTCACTCTCAAATAGATCAATAAACTTCCAAGCCTTAGGAATAACTGTTCCTAATAAATATGTTCACATGTTCATCATCACATAATCAATACAGTAAATAAAGTGGCTGACAAATCTGTTTCTACCTATTTCCCTTCTTCCCACTCTGACTTCAGCAAAGGTCTCATTTC